TTGACTTCTGTTGATTCATTGTCCTTCTTCACCTTGAATACATAAGACTTATGAAAAGAAACTATGTCCTCCAGTATTTTCAATCAAAGCTTATCTATTTCTTCCTGCATGATTAATAATTGCTAATCTAATGAGGGTTCTGTTTATGCTGGTTTCGATTTTCCTGCTGTTGTCGCCAATTGTTTTATTAACTGGGTGTTCGGTAACTTTGCTAGAGTACTGAACAAACAAATTAATAAAGAGCATGTAGAGTTGCCTCTATGGTTTTGATGTAATTGTATATATTTTTAAATGCTTTGAAAGAGTGATTTTTAATTATGTGATCTACTTTGTTCAGCATTCATTAATATGAATAGGCATTTATTTACTTCAATAAAAATCTTTATTTTTATTAAAAAATTATATCCTTATTGAATACCGATCATTAATTAAATGTATATTACTTGTTTCTTTGTTATGAGTTATGTTCAGCAATTAATATATAATGCTGTTGAATTAACAAACATATACAATTAGTGACAATACAAATTAATTATATAAATATTAATTACGTGAAAATTTTATTGTCGTATGTATTAAATTTTCTCTTACAAAATTCATTAAAATCATACTTCGTTTCAAAAAAAATTCTTTTTTTTTTTTTTTTTTTTATCTCATTCTTGTTGATAAAAAATCCTTTTCCAATTGATTTTTTTTTATTATCAATTTTTTTTCACCTGATCGTCTTGGTTACTTTTTTTAATAAAAATACAAACTAAAAAATTGATAACTTTTTTTTTTTTTTTTTTTTTTTTTGTGTGCATTACCAACTACGTATTCTTCATATTACTAGTTATTTTATTTTCCAAAAAGGTTAATAAACCCTTTTACTAACGAATGGAGGAAGAAAAAGAAGAGTTGCTAACAAAAGATTTTTTGTAGTATATTTTTGTTTAAACTTATATAAGAAAATATTATATTAACAGGAATAAATTTTTCATGTTTTGTAGTATTTTTATAATTTATTTTGTATTCTGTTAATTATTTATGTTTTTTAATTTGAGAATAATGGATTTAAATGGCTAAACATTATTCATAATGTTGTAAGTAAAATATATGTAACTTAAATCAATAATTAATAAGGATTTAAATTTTTAATAAAAATATAGAATTCTTTTTAAAGAAAATAAAAGCCTCTTAAAATAATAAATGCTTAATGAAATAGATTATATATAATATAGTTAAGTGGTTTATAGCATTCAAACTGTACTTAGATTTATTAAATTAGTAGAAGTAACTTCACAAGTTCTTTATTAATCTGTTTGTTCAATACTCTAAAAAAGTCATTGGTGAGATAATTAATTAAACAATTAGTTTCTTTTTCTGAGATATTCATTTTATATAGTTGCAAAAACCAGTTGTTTTTATTAAAAAATAAAATGCTAGATAATATAACATGTAATTACGTAATGTTTTGGTTCTACAATTCCAAGATAAATCAGCTATCCATTTTAAATAAACTTCTGACATTAGAGATTCCAATATCATACATATTTTCTTTTTGAATAACCTTAAAAATTTCATTTTACATTCAAAACCTAAAAACCATCCAAAATAATTTTTACTTAATGTCTCACTGAATTTTGCTAATTCTTATGGTATTTTTATCTTATTAATTTCTTTATCTTTCTTTTGATCAAATTTATAAGAATTGTTAAAGAATACTATCTCTTCTAATTTATCTAAGTTTTCTAAATATTTTTTTCATTTTAATATAATGCTAATATAATAAGGGTTTTACTAGCTAACGTTAGAATCTTGTCATTTTCATGGAATAGTTTATTAAATGAATGTTCGATCTTTTTATTAATAATGAACACACTAATAAATATCCTATAGAAATTTTCTACTTATTTTACTTATTATTAAATTAATTATTACATTAAATTATTTTATAAATAATATTAATTATAAGCTATATTAGTTATTTAGAAGTTAGTTTACATAATGCTCTATCAACATAATATATCATAATTTTCATTTTTAAAATCTTCAAATACACACAAAAAGAATAGTGTAACTTTTTTTCTATTATTTATTATTCATAAAAAACAAAAAAAATATAATATTTTCTTTTAACTTACATACTGTTAATGTATTTATTTTTTTTTCCTTAATTTACTCTGTTTACATACCTAAAGTACACATTTTTTCTTGAATATTTAACATGAGGATATAAAAATATATTTATTTAATATTCGACCTTAATTATCATTTAAAATATATTAATAATACTATTTATTGTCTAGTATTGGTCTATAATTAATAATATAGATATCTTTTGTATAATATTTAGATGAATAAATAGAATAAAAACATTATATTTTTTGTTTTATGAATTTCGGGAACAATATGCAATAATAAACATGTTCACCAAAATAGCTATTAAAAAAGTGTGTACACTAAAAAAAAAATATATATACATGTACTAAAAGTGAGTACACTGAATAAAAAAAATAAATAAATAATAATTTTTTTTGGGAGATATAACGCTGACTTATAAAAAAAGAATGTTGTAATATTTTTTTTTATTATTTTCTTTTTTTGTTATTAAAAAAGAGAAGTTTTTTCTTCTGTTTTTTTTTTTTAGGATTATATTAGGATTAGTATGGTGTATATAATTTTTATTTTAAATTAAATTATAATATTAAAAAAATTACATGTTGGTGTGCTGTGTAAATTAACTTAATTAATAAGTAGAATTTAATGTTGACTAATAAAAATAAAGATATTCAATTAAAATTTTAATTAAATCAAAAATAAATTAATTGGAGATTATATTATTTTCATTAATTTGTATATTTGATTCTAGCAAAATAACCGAAGAAGAAATTATCAAATCACATTGAAAACTATTTATTTTCCATACAGCTATTACTTTTTATTTTCAAAAAGGTTAATAATTTTAATTAACCAACTATATATATACTTTTTTTTTATGTGAATTCAACAAAAAATAAAATATATATTTTTTTTTTTTTTTGTACAATACTAACTAAAAAAAAAAAATATGTAAAAATAAATATGTAAATGTCAATTTCTTAATTTTTTTTTTTTTTTTTTTGGAATAAATTTTGCTAAAATAGAAAATTTTATTTTTTTTTTTTTGTATGTGTAAGATTTTAAAAATAAAAAATACTATTTATAATATATATATTATTTAAATCAAATTAAAAAAAAAAATAATAAAACCAATATTTATTATTATTTTAAAAATATTAATAATTTTATGTAATAGATTATTTTAAATGTTAAATAAATTTACCTCCCCATGTTTTTTATTAATCTGTTTAATAATGGCAAAATCATTTAAAAGTTAATGAATTGTATGTGTATTTTCTTATATGTTTTGTTAATATTTCAAAGATAAAAAAATTATAATATTTGAAATATTTATTTTTTTTTTCTATTTAATTAAAATTGTGTCATTTTTTATAAACAAAAATAGTTATTTATTAACTGGAATATTTTTAATTTTTTTTACAATTATTTTTTATAATGATTTTATACTTATTTAATTTTACATATTGGCTTTATTCTCTTATTTATTTGAATATAATATTATTTTCTTTATAATTTAATTTAATTTATTATATTTTATTTAATTTGTTTCATTAAATTTGAATTTATTTTAATTTAATTTATTATCTACCTACAATTATACTTATGAAAGAAATAATTACAGAACAAAATTATTTTTTATTAAATTAACGAATATATGATTAAAAAAAAAATAAATATGAGGTATTACATTACAAAAATTATAAATACGATAAAATAAAATGAAATAATCTTAAAAAAAATTAATTTATAATTTTTATTAAAAATTTTCACTTCAATATTTTGCATAAATTATGAGAAGAAGAACATAGCTTGATTTTTCACTAACATCTGAAATAAAGAGATTATAAATTTTTTTTTTAGTTTTCACGTAAATAATATGCACAAGTTATAAGAAAATTCATATAACCCAACTTTTTTTAAAAAATATCAATTTAGAATTTTGCATAAATTGTCAAGGAAAAGCATATGGTTTAATTCATTTTTATTTAATATATATAATATAAAAAAATACAAATTTTTTTAAAAATTTTCTTTTCAGTATCATGCACCATTTTAAACGTGAAAAAGCGCATAATTTAATATAATTTTATATCTGTAATAGAAAAATTACAAGTTAATTTCTTTTAAAGGCTTTCTCCTCAATAATATGCACAAACTGCTATAGGAAAAAGCACATAGCTTGCTAAATTTTTTAAATAATTATTTATAATAATAAAATTATATATTAATTCTTTTATTTTTTTGAGGAAATATGAAAATTAATAGGACAAATAAATATAATATTTATTTTTGTTAATAATTACTTATAGATAACTGTATTGTCTTTAATTTTACATGCGCTTTCGTAATACATTGGTAATTATTGTATACGTAAATCTGCATACATTTTCTTACAATGCTATTATTTTTAAATAATATATCATTTCATTTTATTATTTTTTTTTTTGTCTTTTTTAGTTTTTATTTTGTTTTTTTTTGTTTAATAAACTACTTTATCTTAAAATAAAAATTTATTTTTTTTAAACTTATGTTAGAATATTTCACATAAAATTATACTACTATTAATTAGCAAAGTTAATTTATCCAAGAAATGAACATGAAACAGATATATTTTATTTTAATGAACTAATTTGTTATTAAAAACAAAGCTAACAAAATTTGAAAATAATTATAAATTATTTTTTTTTAAAAATTATATAAAATCGTCTTTAGTAATTTAAAACAAAAATATCTTCTAGTTTTTAAATGAGAAATAGTTTTTTTATGATTTTTTCGTATATTTAGTAAAATATATTTTCTAGTTTTATATAAATATATATATATTATTAATTTACATTATTTTTAAAATTATAAAAAAAATTATTTTTTAAAAATATTCATTTACTTCTTAATTCAAAATGAAAAACTTTAAAATATCTTATTTTTTTAATTGGTTTTTTTTTCTTAGTTTATCATTAACACTTTTATTTAATGATAATTTATTTTCAAATATAACAGAAGGAACATTGCAAAAAACACATCAAAAATTGTTGGAGAAAACAAAAAGGAACCTTGCTGAAGGAACATATTCAAGTAAAATAAGCAGAGTCATAGCAAAAAGTTCTAACTCCACAGACATAAGGGAGCGTGTAAATAGCATATGTGAATGCCTTTATATGGCATATAAAGATACGGCTAATTGGTTTTCACATTATGAATATAATGACCCTGAATCAAAATTTAAAAATAGTATAATAATTGGTGATCAAATTGAAAGACGTTTATCTTGGGAAGGATTCAAATTATCGTACAAATTAATACGAGATGAAATAATAAGAACAAAAGAGCGTAATGATTTAGTTGCTTCAGTGGAGAAAACAAAAAGCGAATTTACTCATATGATGAGCATTTTTCAAATGGAAAATGATCTGACAAAAGATTTATTAAATAATATGATTGGTAAACCGTACGACGTATTAGAAACCCTAATAAATGATGAGGAGAAAATAGTGAAGAAAATTAAAGAGGAATTACAAAAGAGAAATCTTAACCTTCCACCAAATCATATTCATAGAATGGCTCTTAGGATAAGTAGACGTGCTCATGACATCGGTTATGAAGAAGGTATTTTAGATAAATATATTCCTGAGCCCCAAGATTGTTATCTGGAAGAGTTCAAAAATTGAATTATAATTCTTTTGATCTATTTTATTCTTTTCATGAAAAATATATGTAATTATAAATACGTCTTCTATTCAATATTTTTTTTACTTTTTTGTTGCGTTGAAATATTCTATAATGAAAAATATTTAAATTATTTTTGAGATTTATTATTTGAAATGTAGAAAATTTTGTTCACATTTTTAAATATAATATCTAACAAAATAAATACAAAATATAGAGTTAGATACGCAAACATATTTGTTAGAATATTTTAACAATTATATAAAAATATGATTACATAACTGTGTATGTATATTAAAAAAAAAACATATTTTTTTTTTTTTTTTACTACGTTGTATTTGTTAATTATGTTTTAAATTTTAAAAAAAAAAATTTTTTTGTATCGTGAATTTTGGCTTTGTATAATTTTTATTTAATGAAAAAAAAAAAAATTACATGTAAAAACTATTAACCTTTATAAATAGTGATAATTTTTTATGTAAAAAAAGGCTTTTACATTAAGAATTTGGGTTTTCATAAAAATAAGTGAAATTTTTTTTTAATCTGTTGTTCAATATATAGTAGCACCTTTTTGCTTATATAGGTATTAGGAAGAAATAGTAAGTAGTTGCACAAATTAAATGTTTAGATGTGTGTATGATCTATAAATAGTATTATGAACCTATTTTAAATAATATTTAAATAAATAAATTGGGTAAAGGTATTTTTACTTATTCATATTAAAATGCGGAGAAAATGTGTACATAATGGTTATACTAAAAAAAAAATAAGTATGCAAAATATGCATACCTTAAAAAAAAAAAAATACATTCACTAAAAGTAAGTAGATTAAAAAGAAAAATAATAACTCTAAAAGTAGGTGGATTAAAAAAAAAATACTAACTCTAAAAGTAAACACACTAAAAAAATATAGATATATTTTATTACATTTTTTTTTGTGTATTTACAATTAGACAAAAAAAAAAATTTTTTTTTTTTTTGATAATAATTTTTTTTTAAAAAAAAAATATATCTCAAGAAAAAAAATATTTTTTTCAGAATGAAGATGTTGGGTATTTTTTTATTTTTTATTTATAAAATATTAAAAATGTAATGTAAAATATATTATAAATAGGATTTTGTGTAAATTAATAACAATAGTATTTAACTGATGCAATTAACATTTGATATTGATTAATAATAATGAACAGTTTACATAATATTTCAATTTAAAAAAAGAAAATAAGTGGAGTTTTCTCTATATTCATTTTATTAATTTGTTTGTTTAATACTAGCAGGATTATTCAGTAAGCAATTAATAAATCAGTAGAACTAGTTCTTAATACAAATAATGGTTAATAAGTACAATGTTTCTTCGTTTAAATACTATAGATCCTCCATATTGTTTACTATTTTCATCTAGTACTACGTTCCAGAAACATTATAAATCCATTTTTAAGATATATTTTCAAAAATCACTTATCAACATAAAATGTCTGGAATATATGTCTCATATGAGGTAAAATATATAAATTATCGAGTACATATTTATTTAAATACAAATAATCTATAGTGACTGCCCATTTTCTATTCTTTTTATGAACCAATACCATAGATGGAATTTATTTTTCTTTATCAAATCCACTTACAATATTAATTTTCATTAGCGCATCAATTTTCTTATTTAATTCAGCTAACATATACTAGATCAAAGGATTGTAATTATATCTCTGAGATTTTTCTTAAATAATAATAGAAATTTTATATTTATATAATGTTCTTTACGTTTTATTTCCCTATATTAATAAATTATATACCGATAATTCTCCTAATTTAACCCTATTTTCTGTAGATCCTAAATTAGTTTTGTTAATAAAACTTTAAGTAGTTTCTTGATTAATCTTTTCTGAATTCCATTACTAATCTTTTCTAACGTTCATTATTCTTCATAATTGTTTAATAAAAGGCTTCATTAACCTTTTTGGAAATAAAAAGGACTAGCTATATGAAGAATATGTAGTTGGTCATGCTCACGTAAAAAAAAAAAAAAAAAAAAAAAAAATAATCAATTTTTTTTTGTTTGTGTTTTTATAAAAAAAAAGACCATCAGGATAAAAAAAAAATCAATAGGAAAAAGATTTGTTACCTATAAGAATGAGATAAAAAAAAAAAAAAAAGAAAGATTTTTTTTTTTACAGAGGATGATTTAATTAATTTTGTAAGAGAAAATTTTATACTTAAAATAATAAAATTTTCATGTAATTAATGTTCATATAATTAATTTGTATTTTCACTAATTGCTTATGATTGTTAATTCAACAGCAATATATATTAATTGCTGAACATAACTCATAACAAAGAAATAAGTAATATACATTTAATTAATAATCAATATTCAATATAGATTTAAATTTTTAATAAAAATAAAGATTTTTATTAAAGTAAATAAATGCCTATTGAAATTAAAGAATGCTGAACGAAGTATATCACATAATTAAGGATCATTAGTTCATAGCATTTAAAAATATATATAAATACATAAAAACCGTAGAGGCAACTCTACATGCTCTTTATTAATTTGTTTGCTTAGCACTCTAGCAAAGTCACGAACATCCAGTTAATAAAACACCTGTTCAATGACCGTTTTAGTATGGAATAAATTAATAGAGAATGTATATAAAAAATTATACTTATTTTATTTTTATTTAATTAAAAAATTAAGCGAATTATTCAATTTTATTAATTAATATAAAATATTAATTATATCATTTAAATATTTTTGTTGTTAATTTACACAATATTCCATGTATGTCACATTTTTTCTTACACTTTTAATCTCTCATAAAAAAAAATACTCTACATTATCGTTCCAAAAGAAAATATTTATTGCTTGAGATATATTTTTTTTTAATAAAAGAACAATAAGAAAAATCATTACCAAAAAAAAAAAAAAATTAATTTTTTTTTTAGTGAGAATAATAATAAAAAAACAAATTTAGCAAAACATATCTACATTTTTTTTAGTGTATTTGCCTTTATAGTAATCATCTTTTTTTCTTTTTTTTGTACATATTTTATATATTTATTTTTTTTTATCGTGCGCATTTTATTCTTATTTTAACATGATCAAATGCAAATGTTTTTACTTATTTTATTTATTTAAATATCATTTAAGATATATCGATAATGCTATTTTTACACTATTAGGAGATACTAATTATTATATAAAATATATTAAAAATTTTTATTCATGTATTTCTAAATTAGTTTCATTACTAAAAATCATCAGATTTTTTAATAAATAAAAAGAAAATGGTTTAAATAATTTATTATATCTTTTTTCCGAAAAACCGAATACTGTTTTAATGAAGCCTCTTATAATGTTATGGAGTGGAATTAACCGAAAAAAATAATGATAATGGTTGCACAAAATTTATTCATTATACTTCAAAAAAATTAAATGATGCTCAATGGATATGGAGGACAATAGAAAAAAAACTATTTTTAATAATTATATTTTGTGAAACGTTTGATTATTACATTTAAGGATCTAAAGTATTTATAAAAGCAAATTGTAATGGTATAATAAAAGTTAATTCTGCTACTAATAGGAAATTGTAAAGATGGAAATTAGACTATCCGAATTTTGCTCAGTATTTGAACACATTAGAAAAGTTTAAAATAATTTAGATTATTGGATTTCTAGGTCAATAGATGATAAAAATAATCTTCTTAATTACACATTATATGATGATAGATTGTTAAAAGGATATGAAAACATTTATGTATTCCTTCTTGAAAGAAAATAGATGATTTTAGTGAGGAGATAAAAATAATGTTCCAAGAAATTTTGTAGAGGGAAATAACTTTCCTATTCATTATAAGAAAGTATGATTATATATATGATTTATTAATTGTCCCTTCAATGATTTTACTAATGTATTGGAAATACTAATTATTAAAGGGCATATAATGTTTCTCTTACAGCTTACATTTAATATAGAGATACATCTAAGCACAAATGTTTATTTATTTTAAACAAAGTTTGAATTCAATTTGTTTACAATATCTTAAAATATACTATACAATAATTTAATAAAAAAAGTAAAAATAAAAACTTTTGTTTTCTTTTTAAATCATTGAAATTCAATTTAATTTACTTAAAATTAATTCATTAGAGATAACAAATTTACATAATAAAATCAAAATATATTTTAAAAAACAAAAATATTTTACTAACAATATATTTTTCTATTAATCTACAACAAACAAAAAAAATATAAAAAAAAATTTAAAAACAAAATTTAACATAAAAAAAAAATTAAAAATAGCTTTATTTTATTTTTGAACTTGTGAATATGTATGGCTGATTTTATTTTCTCTATAGATCTATTATCAATTATCCTAAAAAGGGTAATCTAATATTTATTTGCTTAAGGAATATTGAAGTATTATGATTTATTTATGTGATCCTTAAAGATTTGACTAGAATACTGAAAAGAAAAATTAATAAAGAGAATACATAACTTCTACTAATTGTTGTAAAAATTACATTGATAATACAAACTAGTAAACTATGTAACTTACAATTTTTATAATTTATTGATTTTAGGAGAATTTATTTACTTTAATAAATATCACTTTATTTTTATTGAAAATATAAATCTTTGTTATTGATTTTATGTAAAAATCTTTTTTTTTTTTAAGCTGTAGAATATTTATTACTTGTTTTATATACTTCCATAAAGCTACTATATGTTATTCCAAAAATGTTAATAATACATTTTATTAACCAAATAATTAACAAACAAATCAATAGTACATAGACTATGCTCTACAAAATTCAATAGTTGTGAAAGTATTTTTTTATCAATAATATATAATTTTTATATAATTAAATTAAATATATAGCTTATATTTTATGGCCTATCTTCTAAATAAAATATAAGGCTTAATATATTTATTCCTATTACATCGGTTAATTTAAAAAACATTTAAATAATTTAATTAAATATAACTTATTTAAGAATCTAAACATTAATCATAGATCATCGAATGTATATGAAATAATTTTATTACTATAGAGACCTTCTATAAACGTTATTTAAAAATCCTTTTAATAAATTCTAATTTTTTATTCAAAAAATAAAAAATTCATTCTAAAATTTTTTTCTATTAAAAAAAATATTTAGCTATTATTTTTTTTTAATTACTTATGTGAAATATTTTTTAAAATGTTAAACATTTATATATATCTTTTTATTTTATTTATACTTCACTAATATTTTAAAAATTTTAATGATATCATTTAATAACCTAAGAAAATGCAAATATTGGGGCTTTGATTTGTTAAACATTTGCTCAAAAACATTTGTATAATATTGGTCAATAAAAGATATAATTAAAATTTTACGAAATGAGAGATATTAAATTGTATGGAAAATAACATATTTGTTGTTTAAGAGTTCCATTTAATTAAGTAAATAACTAAAAAAAGAAAAATGAAAATTTTTGTTCTTTATATTGTATATAAAATTTGCTAAGTATGATGATTTTATTTTAATTTAATGAGAAAAAATTATTTTTTTTTAAGTTGTTAGGAATTTTTATTCATTTAGAAATTAAATTTAATTAAAAAAACTAATTTTTGGAACCATCAAAAGTTTAATTAAAGTTTAAAAGAAAACAAAAATGATTTAATTTTTATTAACACTTAAATTTAGTGTATTTTTATAAAGTTTCTAATTACTTTGAATTTATTTATTTTAAAATATTATTTTGAATATAATTAATAGCTTTAATGCTAATTTAAGCTTTTAGTATAAATAAAAATAACTTTATATTAATTATATAAACGCCTATAAAACAATAAATATTCTTTTATGTAAATTATATGTATAAAATTTACTTTATTATAATAGAAATATTTATTTACAACAGGTAAAACAAGTAGAGACTACTGTACATATTTTTCATTCGTTCATTCAATATATCAGTATATTAATATTAGTGTAATATGTTGTATAAAGTATATGTCATTTATTAATCCGTTCAATGATTTCCACATATCATTGAATGAACATAATAATAAAGAACATATATGGTGTTTCTTACTAGTTTTAATTGTTATAAAAATATATTTATATTATAATAAATTAAATATTAGACATAGAGTTTAAATAATACAATATTTACTGTTTTAGAGACATTTACTAATTAATACAAGGTTATTTTTATAAAAAGCTTAAATTGTCATTAAATCTATTAATTATACTCAAAATAATACTTTAAAATAAATAAAATTAAAGTTATAAACAACTTTTCAAAAATATATTAAATTTAAATATTAATAAAAACTAAATACTTTTTGTTTTCTTTTAAGTTTTGAACTTAATTTTTGATGGCTTCTAAAATTGACTAGATTACAAAAATTTAACCCCTATACAATAAAACGTATTATTTAACAACCTAAAAAAAAAAAAAAACTTAAAGAAAATATAAATGAAAAAAAAAATTATAGGATGTGAAAATTTTTTTTTTTTTTCATTTATCTATTTTTTTAAATATCAATTATAGCGAATGACTAATTTCCTCATTATTTACTATTAAATCATAAAAGGTTAATATCATTTATTAACCAGATAGGTATTTTAACATACATATATTTTAGAATATTTTACATGCATACAAAACTCATTTTTGCATTTTTATTCATCGTATTATAAATTCATATAGCTCAATAATATTCTTTATTAGTCAAATGTCAGAGCTTCTGATTCAATCATATATAACTTGGATTTAACCTCTTTTTCACAATAACCTCAACATAAATTACATTATAAATAAATAAATTTTATATTTTCATTCAATTTTTTTTTTTTTTTACAGTTTTTATATTTCTCTTGTGAATTTTTTTTAGGAAGGATTATTTTTTGTGAACAATATCCTATTATGTTTTCGTTTTTTCTCTTTTATTTAATACTAATATTTAACTTATAAATTCTTTATATAATTATAAAAATGAATTAAATATATTTTCATTATTATTATTATTATGTAAATTCAAACTTAATTTTGATATATTTCATTTATCATAATAAATATATATATACGCATTTTTTTTTTTTATTCTTTTATTTTTCTTTATATATTGTTATTTGTTTATAAAAACACATTTGCATGTGAATTTTTATTTTTATTCCATTTATTTTATCTAAGCATTCGTTTTTATAAAATATTAATATATTATTGTTAATTATCTATTAACATTGAAACTGTTATATATTTTATTATATATATTTTAAATTATTTTTTATTTTTTTTAAAAAAAATAAATTATTATTAGAAAAACCTTTGAATAAATATTACTATTATTTTATATTAAAATTACGATAAGAAAAAATTTTTTATTTTTTGTTTATTTTATGTTATATAGAAAAAAATTTCGAACAATAATTTGTATTAAAAATGTATATCCCATAAATGTTAGATTTTATAAAAACATATCTTTTAAAGAAAATAAATATACAGAAATATTAATATTTAAATAAGAGATTAAGAGAGTTTTGAATTTTTGTAAATATTATATATTGTACTAGAAACTATATTTTTTATAAGAAGTAAAATAAAATTTATAAGAAAATGAAATATTAAAAAAAAAAAAATAATTCTACAAAAGTTATTAAGAAAAAATTCACAAAAATCTTATTTAAAAGTAATAAAAATATATATGCCTTATTTTAATTTTAAAAATGGCATTTTTATATAATGACGGATGTGTAGAATCTGAAGGAGATATCACCAAATGTTCTATGAATATATGTCAAATAAGTCAAAAAAAATTTCAAACATCATATTGTAGAATTCAGCCACCCGTAGTTCATATAAAGAAATCTTTAAATAATAATTTAAATGATCTTTCAAAAAATTTATTTACATACGAATTTACTCCAGCAAATTTTCATTCTAGGATAATTATTCTTTCAAATAATGATAAAGATGGTATTTTGCTTCTGTATGAATATAATCCAAATCATAATCAATATCCAGATAAAACATATTTATGCCTCCTTAGAAATATAAATCAAAAGTTAACATTATGCGAAGCCGTTAATATAGAATATTTTGGAAGAAGTCTTACGTTTGACTCTTATGACTTTATTAATGAAGAAAATAAAAAAATTAATATGATTAGTTTAAGAAACCCCAATCATAAAATTATTAAATCAAAATATGATAAGTTTATATTTAAAGAACATTATTGCCATCATATAAAAACAAAATATATTTCACATTGTACTAAAAGGAATACCATATGTAAAAAAATTAATAATGATCAATTGCAGTGTACCGACGCGAATTATAGCGGAAGTTTAATTAAGTTAGATTATGTTGAGTATTATGTTTTAAAAAGAAAACATATATATCTTCCCAGTGGTTGCTTAAAAGAAAATTTAAATCCTGTATGCACTCCACATATATGCGTAAGCCATGCTATTAATGAATTTTATGAATGCGAATATGAAGAAATCAGTGTTATAAAAAACATAAGGCCAATAAATAACATAAGACCAATAAATAACATAAGGCCAATAAATAAATTAAGGTCAATACATATCATAGAGCCAAATTCAAAAAATTTACCCGTGATGTCATTAAAGCATAAGGATATTTCTCATAAAAATAGTTTTGATAATGCTGCACTCTTTGCAATGTCTTTTATGTCTTTTCTAGTTATATTCATTTTTTTTTTTTGCCTTTTATATAGGACTTTTAGAAAAAAGAGAAGTAGGTTATTTATAAAACATTTTAGTATATTAATGCTTATATTATGAATATATACATTATATTTTTTAATTTTTTAATATATAAAAAATGAAAAGGTAAATAAAAATCAGTGTGCATTAAATTAACAAAATTTTATATTTTTTGTTTTTTTTGTAGGAAAAATAAATTAATGATAAAAAAGGAAAATCATTACTTTTACTAAAAATATCAAGTATTCTTACAAAAAATATACAAAATTAATAATAGGGTATTTATATTTTATATTTCATATATTTATTAGAATCCAGAGGAAAAATTTTTATTACAATAAATAAATTATCTTCAAAAAATTTTAATATCTAGGTATGTATATACGATATACAAAATTGAACTAAAAATTCTCTTATGCTTAAATTTCTCAATTTCTATATAGTTTCTTTTTATATAAATGGGTTTAAATTTTCTATATGTTGATTTATTAATTTTATATTAAAATATTTTGTTAGAGTAATAAACATATGAATTAATAAAGAAGAATTAAAATAATTTTTATTTTTGTCTTTTGAGAAAAATATCTTGTCATAAATAAGTGAACATTACATGATTATTAAAAGGAATTATTAATCTTTTTGAGAATATAAAGTAATAGTTGTATGGAAACTTAATGGTTAGTTGTGTAACCACTAGATAAAAAAAAAGAAAAATTGTTAATTTTTTTTTTTGTGAATTAAAAATACACAAAATAGTTTATTTTTTGCGAAAAGATTAAATAGTTGAAAAATTAAAGAGAAGATTATTCAATAAAAATTTTTTTTGTAATATATTTTATTTAAATTTATGTAAGAAAATTTTATATAAACGATAATAAATTTTTATGTTTTGTAGTATTAATATAATTTATTATTTATTTTGTTAATTATTTATGTTTGTTAATTTAGTAGAAATATATTTGAATTGATAAACTTATAACATTATAAAGCTAATATAATTAAAATTGATAATTAAAGAGGATTTAAATTTTTAATAGAAATATAGTATTTTTATTAAAGTATATAAATGCCCCTTAAAGGCAATAAGAACTCTATAAAGTACAGTAAATATATACATATTGCTGGTTTATAATATTAAAATTATACTTAAATTCACTAAATTATTAGAGGAGACTCTATGTACTTTTTATTAATATGTTTGTTCAATACTTTGGAAAAGTTATTGAATACACAATCAATAAATTAGTAATACAATATAAAATATTAAATATATAGTTTATTTTATATGATATTCATAATACTTTAAACAAAAATATATCAACATAATGTTTTTATTACTATTTACTGGGTAATAAAAACTATATTGACTTATTTTTATATTACACATGCATTAATAAAACACTGAACTTCTTTATATAGAAAAAGGTCGTAAGATAAAATTATTAACATGAATTGCAACAGTCAATTCAAAATACTTTAGAACTTTTATTAAAAATAATTATATTAACCGGTTTTTGTAGTAGTTATGCAGTGGTTAATAAAAGATTTTATTAACCTCTTATAGTATATTAAATCATTACATGGAGAATTAGTTATATATCTGAAAAAATTTCTGATAAAAAAAAAAAAAAGAATTTTATTTTTATTGTTAAATGTTTTTATTATTTATTTTTTTCTGGATTTTAATTAAAAAAATGAAAAAAAATTGTTTTTTTTAGTTATTAAAGGGATTTTTATTTATTTAAATATTAAATTTTGTCAGTTGAATTGATCTTAGAATAATTAAAAATTAAATTCACATTTTAAAGAAATATAAGAAATATATTACTTTTATTAATATTTAAATTTCATGTATTTTTAAAAGAATTTTAATAACTTTAATTAAGATTATTATTTCTCTTTAAAAGATTTCTTTTACAGGTAATCGACAATTTTAATGATGATTAAGGTTTTTAATGAAAATATGGATAAATTTTCATTATAGTAAGTGAATGCTTCTGAAACAATAAATGCTTAGATATTTGTTAATAATAAATATTAATAAGTTTATATGAAACAATCAAATCTTATAGAGAAAATAGAAAGCCATGCACATTCATTAAATAAAAAAAAAAAAAGATTGTGAATTTTTTTTATTTTATTTATTTTTTTCTATGACTATAAATGCTTTGTTGAATTTTATCAGTTGATCTAATATTTAAGATAATAAAAAATATATTTAAACTTTAAAAAGAAAAAGAAGAAGAAAAAGGCTTTATTTTTATTATTATTATTTAATTTTTATATATTTTTAAAAAACAGTAACTTTAATTTTATTAATTTATTTTAAAAGAATATTTTATACACAATAAATAATTTTAAAGGAAATTTATATTTTAAATATGAATAAGACAATTTTTATTAAATTAATATAATCCTCAAAAAATCATAAATGCTCATTTATTGATTTATCAATTGCTATTTCAATGATTTGAAAGAGTATTGAAAAAACAGATTAATAAAAATTATGCAAAGTTACCTTCACTAATTTAATTAATTTAAATTTAATTTTAATTGTGAAAACCAGTAAAATTTATTTATGCAACCTACTTCATGGAGTATTTATTTTTAAGAAATATTTATTTACTTTAACTAAAATTCTATACTTTTACTAAAAATTTAAATTATCATTAATTATGATATTTAATTAAACATACCTTATTTATGAAGTTATAAACAATATTTAAAAATTCATGTCTTTCTTTTAATAGAAATGAGTATTATTAAAACAGAAAATGAACTTACTGGTTAATAAAAGGCCTAATTAACCTTTTTGGAAATAAAAGGGACTAGCTATATGAAGAATACGTAGTTGGTCATGCACACATAAATAAAAAAAAAAAAAATGATCAATTTTTTTTTTAAGACAAAAAGCAAAGAATGTTAGGAAAAAGCTGAGAAAAATGGTTACAAATAAAATTTGGGGAAAAAATTTGTTACATATTAGAAGATATTAAACATACAAAAGAATTTAATTTATATAGTATTCATATTTTTAATTTGTAAGAGAAAATTTTATACATATAATAATAAAATTTTCACGTAATTAATATTCATATAATTTATTTGCATTTTTACTAATTGTTTATGTTTATTAATTCAACAGCAATATATTTAAATTGCTGAACATAACTCATAACAAAGAAAAGTAATTTACACTTAATTAATAGTAAATATTCAATAAGGTTTTAAATTTTTAATAAAAATATGGATTTTTATTAAAATAAATAAATGCCTATTGAAATCAAAAAAATGATGAATGAAGTAGATTACATAATTAAGGATCACTCGTTCAAAGCATTTAAAAATATATATAAATACATCAAAATCGTAGAGGCATCTCTACATGCTCTTTATTAATTTGTTTGTTCAGTACTCGAGCAAAGTCACAGAACACCCAATTAATAAATCAACTGGTTAATAAAAGGTATTATTAACTTTTTTTAGAATAAAAATTAATAGTAGTATGAAAAATCTAGTTAGGCATGCAGACGCTAAGTATATGTTTAATAAAAGATGTTATTAACCTTATTGAGGACAAAAAATAATAGATGTATGAAAAATAAATAGTTATACAAGAGTTAAATAAAAAAAAAAATGAATGAAAAAAATTAATTTTTTTTTTTTTTTTTTTTTTTTTTTTTTTTTTTT